TCGGTGTTGTGTTCATTCATGGATGAAGATTGTTTAATAATTCAAACTCAATTGATTGAAGAACCACAAATAAAGAATATGTTGCTGAGTATTTAGTTCATAAGTGTATAAAATATATAAGAAATGACATGTGTAAGATACTACAGTATATACTATATAACTACTCAATTATATTTTAGAAAGAGAAGAGACTAGGTAGGGTAAAAAGGTCCAGTGAATATCCATCGGTGTTGTGTTCATTCATGGATGAAGGTTGTTTAATAATTCAAACTCAATTGATTGAAGAACCACAAATAAAGAATATTAAAAATACAATGACTCAGAAAACGAAAATATTTTGCGACTTTACATTCCTATCCTGTGAAAATCATAATAAGATGTCTTATGATTATTTATAAATTTTTTCGTCTTTTATATATATTTAAAAAAATCTTATGTGAAATATGCCAAGTTTTAGTGTTAATGTTATCTACAAAATTTCCTTTTGGAGATTTGGGATTATTATTGGAGATATCCAATAATTAGACATTTTTGTCGAAGTGAAAAGATCGGAGGTAGCTCAATTGGATAGTTCTCACTGTAAATTCCACAGCACGCGTGTATACGTGGTTCGATCCCCGCCGCCATCAATGAAATTGATCGATTGGAAATTTGGTGATTTACCACGTGCTCGGTGGTGCGGTGCCTTTTTTTGTAACCTTACTTTTATATCCAATAATTATCTAGTAAATAACATAAACATTGATAATAAAATTGTACATTTCGTAAATAATCAGCATAGTTATTGCTAGAGATGAAGCGTATATACTAGAACAGATCCAGGGACTAAGTATTTAACGAGACTAGGTTGCACCTATTCCAACTTTTAAAATACTTGATCCATCTAGTCTCACTGTGCCTACGCGTCGTACTCGTATTTTATTACCGTAGACTGTAGTTACTAGGCGCTCAACTCGGGTCGTCTTTGCCTAAATCATTAGTTTGTCAGTCATTTGAATTTGAACCAAATTTTAATGAACATAAAGGTAACGTGACGCGCACTCATGTTTGTTGTGTAATAATATATTCTGTCCTTTTTTAACTAGACTATTCCGTAGTCTTTCTATCTTTGTCTGTCAATACTCGAGACTCGAGACTAGTAGGGACTCGGACTAGTTCAACCAAATACTAGTACGAGACTAGTCGGGACTCGGACTAGTTCAACCAAATACTTATACAAGAGTACAAGGCAGGCGAGTGTCTATTGTCAAATACGGTACGGACTCATGCGAATGTGATCTCGGTGGACGCTGTTTTCATGTTTCCATGACTACATAACATAGTACTGGAAGCGTAAACAATTTACGTTTCGATGATTATGTAATATATTTTGATGAATATACATTAAATAATTAATATAAGTAAATGTGTCATGCATGCTTTTAGTAGTATAAAAATGCGTTCATTTACCCACATTTACTAATCTATATATTTTATAATCGTTCGTAAGGGGAGTGAACTTCAGTCGTGCGCCGGAACTGACAAACTCACTTTTTATTTTTCAGAACAATTCTTTTTTTTAATGTTATTTATAAGAATTATGCAAACAATATTCTAAAAAAATATTATAATTAGTCTCGTTACTATTAAGATTATATGAGAGATAAATGAAAATAATCCACTTTAAATTCTCCCTTCCGTCATTAGTATGAGCTGCATCAACCAATTCTAGAATTATAGCAATAGTAAAAAAAACATAGCAGCTTAAAATCAAGACATACAAAATCAATAGGTGAGTACTCCCATTCTAGAGTTTTTCAAATAAATCAAAGATAAACATCTTTTAAAACAAACTTTACAAAATATGAAGTACTACTAAATAGCATTTGAAGTAATTGGAAGTAAATGATCTTAATTTATTTTTCATATAACCTTAATTCTCGTAATTTAGTTACGAGAATAATTATAATAATTTTGTAAAGTATGAAGGAAGATGTATGAATTCATTATTGCACACGTTTCAGTAGTACGCACGTAAAATATGGTACTTGAAACTATAGCGTATCCTATTCCTATTCCAACAATACTAACCTTTATGTGTACTTGATACTTTATGGACTAGGTGGAACAGGTATTTGGATCGAGTATTTATACGGAATTGGACTAGGTGCACCTAGTACGAAATTTACCTAGTACGACTCATCTCTAGTTATTGCATAAAATATGCCATCTAGCGATACCTACCGAAGACGCGTTTTACTAAAGTCTACAGCGTCATCTAGCGTGCAGGGTACACTATTTCAAAAACTGAAATGTGAGTGGCACATCTATCTCTGGTATATAGGTATTATCTATGAATTTATATGTCTAACCTAGCACAACTATATACTGCCGATTGGGCTTAATAAGCCGTCACAGCACTTCAAAAATAAACCTGGGAATTGAACCCAGATCCTCAGTAGGTAACAACGCATCTAGTGGGTCGTCTGGATTACAACATTATTGTCATTCTACAAACGGTCAAACCATACCTCGATAATTTTCGACACAACGACATCTAGTTAAATACATGCGAACTACGATTACTCGTTCAAGAAGTAGCAAATTAATTTAATTTTATAATAAATATTATATAAAATACTTTATTTCATGAAAACTATTAAATTTAAAAATTTACATCAATAAAAGTAGGATACGTTTATCATGTAAAAATACAATTTCACCTAGAAACGAACACATTAAAAAAAAATTGTCCAATTGGAACCTCCGCCTTTTTTGAATTCAATCAAAAATGAGCACTGCGTTTATTGATAATTGATTTTTCATTTCGAAATTAAGCTACGCCGCATAAAATATAAATGAGTTCTATTTCACTGCCGTTGATAAAAAGGTTAACACAAAAAAAATATTTCGTAGTTAAGCATCTTTCATATTATAAATTTTTTATAGTTAGGTGTCCATGTGAAATTTTCTTACATTGCGAAGACATAATTGCCTTGTGAATGCCTATGTAAAAATAATTTTGTTCTTTTATGTCGGATTTCACTTTTTACTTACTACAAGTTTATTTTTTATGTTTATGAGTGGAGTAAGGGAATTAGTATGTATATCTAATTAGTAAACGCTCAAGGTTAAATCTAGAGTGTCTTATACTCACACTATTGACTATTGTTTAATAAACTGAAGTCCTTAATTAGTACCATCAAAAGTATTTTCAGTAAGGAAATAGATATAGAATAAAGCAGTTCTGCTGCAGATGACTAGTCTCCATAGAGAATTGCCAGATACAAAATTTCGGTCTAAAGAATAGGGCATTCATTCCTTTATTACAGTATATCACATACTATAGACAGTCCACTTCTGAACATAGACCTCCCCATCGGATGCCTAATGAGGATATTTGCCATACAACTTTGATAGCGCGATTTAGGGTTCGATATGTTTCGCTGGCGCGATGACAGTGCCGTGCGCGATGTTAGGCCTGGAAATCGACTGCCATATAAACTGGAAAGCCCATATAAATAAAGTAAAAAATAGGCTATCAAAATTCACTTACGTATTACGAGAACTAAAGAAAATCACAGATGTCCCCAGCGCTCTGTCAGCATATTACACATACACATCTTCGTGGCTGTCATACGGTGTCATGTTGTGGGGAAATAGTAAAGTTGCACAGCAATTACTTATAATGCAAAAAAATTATAAGAATCTTGGCAAACATAAAAATTCCAGAAAGTTGTAAGCCCCACTTCAAAAAGTTTAAAATTTTGACTTTGACGTCTATTTATATTTGGGAAACATGCAAATTTGTAAAAAAACACCCAGAACTATTTACCAAATTAAGTGAAACAAATTACAAATACTCAATTAGACCAAATAAAAATAGGCTACTATTGCCGAAATCTACTCTTGCTTTGCATAGCTCTAGTCCCTACTGTATGACAATTAAAATTTTTAGTAACCTTCCAAATGACATAAAAATTTTACGAGTACTACATTATTTTTATCCAAATTAAAGTTATATCTAATTGAAAAATGTTTCTATAATTTAAATGAATATTTTGATACAAATATTATTTAATTTGTGTGGACAACTTCGGCTTGTGCCTATCTCATTTAATTTAATTTTTTTATTCAATTATTATTTTTTACTTAATTTAATTTTTATTTATAATAATAATTATTATTTTTACTTGACATTTTGATTATTAATTTAATTAAATTTACAGAATTTTAAAATAATATAATCTAATAATGTAATTTATTAATGAAATCTAATATCGTAGTTTAAAAATAATATTTAATATTTTTATAATTGCTACGCCCAAACTGGGTTCAAATGCAGACTATTTTTTAAAAAACATAACATCTATTGTTACCATTTGATTGCAATAAAGATTATGATTATGTCATGTCCCCACCGGTACCAATGAAATTATTAATTGCAATTTTAAGTACTGATTTACCACGTGCTCGGCGGTGAAGGAAAACATCGTGAGGAAACCTGCATGTCTGAGAAATAAGAAAAAAAATATTTCGAAGACATGTGAAGTTCGCCAACACGCACTGGGGCAGCGCGGCGGACATTTCCTTGCCCTAAAACCCTCTCAGAAATGAGAGGAGGCCTGTGCCCAGCAGTGGGACGTATATAGGCTGTAACTTTTTTTTTATGTCACATGGCTTAACATGTCGGCACACCAGGATTACTCCCCGAAGTTGCTTGACACATCAAAGGACTGTTGAACTTCTTCGCGGAGATATCATGGCTCGAATAACCACATTATTTTGCCCACACGCAAAATACGCGCTTAGACGTGGAGTTGAGGAAAACAGCCCGTCGTAAACTAAACTAAGCTAAGAACTTGTTTCCCCCTATCGCTTCTTACAACATCTGCAGGACGATATGGAGTAGTGGATATTCTTCCACCGCCATTAAAAATTACTATATAGAGCAGAAACTTTTGAAAACTTCTATAGCGTGATTTAGAATTTGTATATAGTCAAGTTTGTATGTGTGATACCTGAGATATCTGGTGACGTCACGTCCGGCTACATCGATCCTCATTATGCTGTGCGGCATCGCGAAGCCTTCATAGATAGGCACCGCGTGGGTTACACCATCGCCCGAGTCCAGGACGACACCCGTGGTCCTGCCGGTTGCATATCTGAAATTATGAATTTACGTTTGTGACCATTACCATTATAGCCTATAAAAAGTCGACTCCTAAACAAAACTAAGGCTTACGTAGATATTTTATATGTGGTAGAGCCATGCTACTGCAATATTACAGTTGTAGGACGAATGAGTCAGGTCTACCGGGGTACGACCACGCTCAACACGGAATACCTCCGTAGAATAGCAACTAAATGTTGCTGTGTTGCGTACGGTGAGTGTAGAGTCAGACTATTCTTACTGGAAACAAGACATTTTATCTTATCTGACTATCTTATACGTGGTAGAGCCATGCTGCAGTTATATTAGTAGTATAGTTGAAGCATGAATGGGTCAGCTCGACCGGAGAAGGATCACGCTCTCACAGAATACCAGCGTAATATAATAGCTTAATGCTGCTGTATTTCGTATGGTGAGTGTGAGTCAGAGACTCTTCTTACTGGAAACATGACATTTTATTATTCTCGCTATCTTATATGCGATAGAGCCATACTGCAGTTATATTAGTAGTTGTAGCACGAATGGGTCGGCTCGACCGGGGAACGACCACGCTCTCACAGAATACCAACGTAAAATGGGAACTTAATGCTGCTGTGTTTCGTATGGTGAGTGTAGAGCCAGAGACTCTTCTTACTGGAAAACGAGACATTCCATCTTAGTCGTTAGGGGTGACAACGCATCTGAGGATAAATGTAAATGTCTACAGGTCACACCATTGAGTGGACTGTATACTCATTTGTTACAATTATTCTATAAAAAAAGGCCTCATCCAAAGATACCATCCACGCCATCTGGATGCTTGGCAGTCCACCACTGTACGTTTCAAGAGGAGTTTTCTTCCGCGTACAACTTCCCTGTGGAATAGTTTACCACCAGCGATTTTTCCGGACCGATACGACCTGGGGACCTTAAAGAAAATAGCTTACTCCTTTCTAAAGGGCCGGCAACGCACCTGCAATTCCCCTGGTGTTGCGGTTGATCATGGGCGGCGGTAGTCACTTAACATCAGGTGAGCCGCATGCTCGTATGCCCCCTCTTCTATAAAAAAAAACAACGCGGGTTAGTAAACGCAGCGTTTTTATAATTTTAAGTTGTAATAAGGAAAATGTCTCCTGCCCTCTCCTGTTTCAGTTTCGGTCTATCGCCTCGTACGACACCCACGGGACGATATAGGGTAGTGGATATTTAAACAAAATTGGAACTGACAATTGATGGTAAAGAAAACTGCTCAAGTTCTTCACTAGATGGACTTTATATACGTGGTAGAGCCATGCTGCAGCTATATCAATAGTATAGTCGTAGCACTAATGGATCGGCTCGACGGGGGAGCGACCACACTCTCACAGAATACCAGCGTAAAATAGCAGCTTAACGCTGCTGAGTTTTGTGCAGTGAGTGTAGAGAACTAGAGACCCATTGTACTGGAAATGAGGCATTTTATCTTAGTCCTCAATGGTGACATCACATCTGCATTTTGATTTGTAGTCGAGGATAGATGTAAATGTCTATGGGCCACAGCAACTACTTAGCATAAGGTGGACTGTTTACTCGTTTGTCACTCTTGTCCTATAAAAAAATGGGATGATGACCTAGTAAGACATGAAGGTAGTCGATGGATGTAGGATGTAGGTTGGAAACATGTTTAATGACATTGCTTGGGGGAGGTCCATGTTGAGTTGTGAACTTCCTGGTAAAATGCAGTATGTCGATAAATGCAGATGACTTAGGACTGTCTTTTGTGGCATCTCTTAGGCTGAGGCCAAACGAGTGTAAATTATTGCGTTGTCAGTCGCGTAATTTCTGCTGCATTTGGTTTCATAGAAAAGTCTTGTTTGAGTCACACGGCGACGCAAAATAAGTTGTCTACGGACTCACACGCATAATTCCGACCGAATCGTGTTCGTGGGGTTGAGGGGATTTTTTCGTCGCGTGCCATCTTTGTATTGTGCGTGGTGTAACTATTAACAGTACCAACTAGATTCTATGCTCTTTATTACAACTTCCATTGTACACAACAGGTTTTCTGCGGGACAGAAATTACGCGACCGAAATTACGTTCGTTTGGCCTTACCCTTAAGCGACCTATGTTTAGCAGTGCACTTGTGGAGGGCTGTAATGATGGTGATGAATTTCAATTCTTAGTTGACGTTTATCTGTTCATATAAGTTCCAACAGTCTCCATATTACAGAGCTCTGACAAAAGGGAATTTATTTAAAAGGAAAACAGTCTAAACAAATGGTATTGAATTAGTTGATACATCCCACAGCTGGGCACATGCCTCCTTCCATTTTATTAGAGGGTTGTGGAGTCTTAGTCCATATTAGGAACGAAATATTTTATTATTCAGGCAGAAATCTTCGCCGTTGTTTTCACTACCTAGCATGTAGTAAATCAGCTAATTCCATTTGTGCCAGTAGAAATTGAACTTGTTTTTTTTTAATATAAAATAAAGGTGACAAATGAGCACACAGTCCACCTGAGGGTAAGTGAATGCTGTGGCCCATAGACATCTACATGTATCTTCAATTAAAAATCAAAATGTAGATGCATTGCCAGCCTTGAGGACTGAGATGAAACCCCGTTTCCAATCAAGGTTAACTACATTGTGGTTTGCATAAGTAGTATGTTTACGATAAGAGCTTAGCCCCTAAAGCCCAAAAAGAAACATAATAAAGAGTAAAGTAAAAGTAGATATACATACCACTATTGGGCACAGGGCTCTGGTCATTTTTGTTACATATATGTGAAATTCTTTAGTACGAACTCTTAAGATGTTATCGTTCATTGTCAAGTACATGTAGTAGTATAATACAAGTGATAAACATTTAAAGCCAGTTCCAATTACTGTTGATGGTGAAATTCTCGAAGTTGTCCAGGAATATACCTACCTCGGGCAGATATTGCAACTAGGTAAGAATAACTTCGAGAAGGAAGCCGATCGAAGGATTCAGTTGGGCTGGGCAGCACCTAGAAAGCTTCGTCGGGTTTTCTCGTCGCCCATACCGCAAAGTCTGAAGATAAGTCTTCAACCAGTGCGTTCTGCCCGTACTCACTTACGGTGCCGAAACGTGGACACTGACCATACGGCTGATCCAAAAGCTCAAGGTCGCTCAGCGAGCAATGGAAAAAGCTATGTTCGTAGTTCCTCTGGTAGTCAAAATTCGAAATGAAGAAATCCACCGGAGAACCAAGATTACTGACATATGAACCGAATTATTTGATACGACTTAGGAACCTTCAAGAAAAGAGCCTACACCTTTTGAAAAGGCCGGCAACGCATCTGCGATTCCCCTGGTGTTGCAGTTGCTCATGGGCGACGGTAATCACTTACCATCAGGTGAGCCGCATGCTCGATTGCCACCTCTCTTATAAAAAAAGCCTTTCGTGTTTATGAGCTGAAGTGGCAATGGGCTGGTCATGTCTGTCGCAGAATTGACAGCCGGTGGAGTAGACGTGTTATGAAGTGGAGACCGCATCTAAGAAAACGTAGTGTGGGACGCTCCCTGACCAGATGGAGCGACGATCTGCATAAGGTGGCTGGTAGAAGCTAGATGCGTGTAGCCGAAGATCGGGCTACGTGGAGCGCTTGGGAGAGGCCTTGACCAGCAGTGGACTGCCACAGGCTGACGATGATGATGAAACATTTAGAAGTAAATAAATAAAAATGCTGTATCCCATTACCATAAACCTAGTATTGCAAGAGACGATATAGGAAAATGAAACGGTAGATGGAGAACAGCGTCTTCTTAAAGATTTCAGTTATAACTTGTTCATATATGACAGTAGCCTAATGGCAGGGCGCGGACCGCGAACTCAAAAGGTCGCGGGTTCGAATCCACCACTCGACTACTGGCGTGAACCACTCCTAACACAAGCATTTTCGGATTACCAGGAGTGGTTAAAGGGAATATTAGTAATGTTACTTAATAGGATTACTAACATTCTATAAAAAAAAATTAAAAAAAACTTAAATTAAAAAAAAAGTGCAGTTGTAAAGTCGCCTACCAAGCATAGCCAAGTGTTTAATTATTTTTAAGACTTACAAACTAAGTACAGCCTGCATAGACAGGAAGAGAGCCGGTACATTCAAGGTTTCGAAGAACATCTCGGCCGCTTTCTCCCGATTGCGGCGTGGGTTGAGCGGTGCCTCGGTCAGTAGGACTGGATGTTCCTCAGAGAATGTGGAAAGTTGGTCCTGAAAAACATAATTGTAAATTGTGTAAGTTTAGGCACGTGATCTATCTTTATTGTGGTTGTAGCACGAATGACTCGAATGATATATTATATATCTATATCTGCTCTGAGCATTCACTCTTACTTATTTTAATTTTTACTTTCTCTTCTACCTCTTAATCCTAACAAACTAAAAAAATGTTTAAGCTGTAGAATACAGATTTTAAGCCATATTTTAAACAATATAAAATATTAATTGTACGAAATAGCAGTCTTCGCTTTTTTTATACAATAAGGGTGACAAACGAGCACACAGTCTACCTGATGGTAAGTGGATGCTGTAGCTCACAAACATCTACATTTATCCTCGATTAAGAATCAAAACGCAGATGTGTTGTCACCCCTGAGGACTAAGATGGAATGCCTACCTCTCAACCCTAACTAACTTAAAATTCCTTGTTTCCTGTAAAAAAGGGTCTCCGGTTCTCTACACTCACAGTAAGTTTTATTTGTTACTACTTACTATTGCCACGCTTGACAAGAGAATTGGTAATAACATTTTTTGAAATCTCTACACTCACCATATGAAACACAGCAGTAATAAGCAGCTATTTTACGCTGGTATTCTGTGAGAGCGTGGTCCTCAAGGGTGACAGGCATCTGCACTTTGATTCATAATCGAGGATAAATGTAGATGTATATGGGCCACAGCATCCACTTACCATCGGGTGGACTGTGTGCTCGTTTGTCAACCTTATTCTATAAAAAAAAACTAATTAGCTTACAACTGTAAATAACAAATAACATAATATTCCAGCTGACCCGCTCTTCCTTGCTGTAACATATTTTTAAATTTGATAATGGGTTAATAAATCCAAAAAAAAAAAAAATATTGGCATACACCAATTCCTCAATAGTCTAATACAAAGTGTGGGTCAATTATTAAAGAGAATTTGGCTTAATCGCCGGACTGGGCAGAGCCTCCCTGATGCGTCGCTTGTGAGTTAGCACCGACGGCCTCCTGGCTTCCATATATGGAAGGTAAGATTGGCCTGTGATGAGGCACTGGAACACAGTGCATATGGGTTCCAGGCCCAGTCTGTTTAATAATAAATAATAATTACTGTTAATTTAATAAGCCCTAGTTTTAACTGTACTGACAAACTTGTGTTTTTGCAGTAACAGCCGTCTCGCACTTGATGTTGCTCATATCACAGGACTAGATATTTTAACGCCAACTATCGGGCGCCACGAGGACTCTATTGTTTTCCCAAATCCCTCCTAACGACATTTATGGAATAAGATAGGGTTCTTAATTCGTATTTTTCCACCACTATCGCTATCACTATAGCCGATCACAAATCCACTGCTTGTCATATTATTATAAGGACGCAGGTAAAATAAGAATAACGTGGGTAGTTCACAATTGAGTCATTGTCTTATAATCTAGCATCACCTCTTATTAGTTGTTAAATTGGCACAAAATACGATCCTGAGCCACTTGCATGCATTGACTACTTGTGTTTCATCACAATCTTGTGGGGGAGTCGCTCAACACTACACTTGCTAGTATGAGGCTAACACATAAGAACCTATCTTCTCCATCAGTTGTCAGTTCCAACTTTAGCTTACTGATCCCCTGAGCTATGTCAATTGCTCTTGTTGAGAAATTCCCACAGAGAAATTCCGCGATTTTGTAGTTGTCAGATTTTCGAGCTATGTGGACGGCTCATTGCCATTTTAACTTACATACCAGGAAATCAGCCCCTGGACTATGTCAGTTACTGTTGTTGGATTTCATAACATGGAAAAATTCCAGGTTTGTACATACCTTACTATAAATATAATTCCACACTCGCTCCATATCATTCCAATCTGTTACAATCCCATGCTCCATGGGGTATTTGATACTAAGCAAGCCACGGTGCTCCTCTGCACGGGGCCCCACGAACAGTTCCCCTTCTAGAGCACCGGCCATAACACGAACATGTTTCGGACGTCCAATACTGTAACATTGCAAACACCGACACTGTATTAATGGGCAAACTAATTTTCGGTCCAGGTAGATGTTTTTTCTTAATGCAAAGATTGTGAAAGCCCCATAAGATCTGTCTCAATATTTAGGAAGAATGTAGGGGGAGGTTTAGGCTATCTAACTATTAGTAAAAATTACTAATGAAAAATATGTTAATACAGCTAGGAATAAATGCAAAACCACCTGGAATATAATAAATAACAAAGACGAAGTAAATGACAAACATAATAATAATAATAATGATTATTATTACAGCCGCTGACGTAACAGTTAAGTGACAAAACTGCTACGTCAACGCAGTCAGTCAGCGCCTTGCGAGAGGTGTGAGCGCCGTGCCTCGGCAGAATTCAGGGTGCAAAGGCCCGTTTGTGCTTACGGCCGTCCAATGTACGATACGGTCGGGCCGCCGGGCCTGGGCGTCTCCCGTTAATGGACGCCCATATTATGGATGATGGAATGTGAAAAAGATAGTGCGCAAAGGGCCGCTGCCTGGAGGTCGCCAGGGCGCGTCTGGAGCTTGCGCTGGACGCGACAGCATGCGGGCCGCCAGCCGAGCGCGGGGTGCTGCAAGACCACCTAGCAGCCCCCCGCATCCATCATCCCCACCAGAAGGCTTGGTGTCGGCTGGGTCTTCTCGGACTCAGCAAGCGGCACCCGCCGCTGGTGGAGCACGTCGCATGCGTTGGTCTAAATCAATGAATGAAAACGCACTGCGGGCGTACTTTAGGGCAAAAGGGGAAGAAACTGGATGTTTGGCGTATCGGGCTCGGATGCATCGCTTTTTTTGCAGAGCTGGAGCCATCTCTATCCGTCACTGAGCAAAACCTGGCAGACCGAGTTAGGTACATCATGCGCTCCAACATATTTGGTGACGCCGAACTCGAACGACTACGACGTGAGGCTATTCCTTCATCGAATGGAAATGCTACGGCTGGGAATGCGGCGCCACTAGATGCGCAACAAACTGCATACGTGGATGCTGCCGTCAACATTACATTTGTGGCTAATTCAGACGATGATGGAATAGTCTCCCACGAACTAGAGATAATGAGGAGCATATTGGAAGAGTCGATGCTGGAAACGCGCAGCATGCCTCTCGAAAATCGACCGCGACTTCCCCGCATACCCCTTAGCAAGCGAAATCGGGCTGTCGTGCGGGCTCTTAACCCAATGCTGGTGACCTATTTGGAAGCCAGCCGGGACCTTTGCGAGACGGATTCAATTCTTTTTGGCGCCGCACTGGCAGTATGCCGTATTATTGGCGCCAAACTTCCCATGGCTGGACGCGCTACTCAAAAAAGTAGCGCCATTCCAGCCTGGAGAAAAAAGAATTGAGGACCGTATCGCAAAGGCAAGGGCCCTTATCGGCAGACTGACAAGCTTCAGGTCGGGTAATAATAGACCGAGGATTATGCGCACCGTTAGGATGGCGTTTGCTGGGACAAATATCAATTTGTTCCAGCCGGATATCACGCAGAAACTAACGGAGCGCATAGACGACCTGAAGCAAAAAATCGCTGCTTGGGGGAAGCGGATTCGACGATTTAGCGAGAGGTCAAGGCGGTTCAACCAGAATCGTCTCTTTCAGAGTGATCAGAAGGGGCTCTATAAAACATTGGAGCGACCAGAGGTATGTGGAGCGGGCCCAGGACCGGACCAGGCTGACACTGTCGCATTTTGGCGTGGCCTGTGGTCAGAGCCCGTAAACCACAGCGAGGGCCCTTGGACGGAAGTTGTGGCGAGCCAGAGTGCAAGTGTTACGCCTATGGACCCCGTCACCATAACGCCTGAAGACGTGGCTGAGGCGGTCCGTAGGGCCCCGAACTGGAAAAGTCCGGGGCTCGACGGGCTGCATCACTACTGGCTGAAGGGGTTCTTAGTGTGTCACGCTGTGCTCGCCCGACAGTTTCAAGAGGCTCTCGACCAGAAGTCGCTCCCGAGCCTCTTCACTACTGGGATCACTCATTTGGTTCCTAAAGACCAGGATACCACAGACCCGAGCAAATACCGCCCCATCACGTGTCTACCCACCATATATAAGACACTGACATCCATTTTGAGCGCTCGAATCACTCGTCATCTGGTGCTAAATCAGGGGTTGTCACGCGCTAAAAATGGATGCCGGGGCGGTGGTCGTGGAACCAAGGAACCACTCCTCATTGACGCGGTCATTGGCAAAGTGGTGAAACGCAACCGTCGGAATTTCTCCGCCGCCTGGATAGACTACAGAAAGCATTCGACTCGGTGCCCCATACATGCTAAAAAGAGTCCTCCAGCTGTACAAAATTGACTGTACAGTTGGAGACTTCCTCGAGCAGTGTATGGGGCAATGGAGTACGATCCTTTGTTATCTGGGCGAGCGGATGATGGCTGCGGAGAACCACATAAGGATAAGAAGGGGTATCTTCCAGGGCGATTGTCTGTGTCCAATCTGGTTTCTCTCCCTGAACCCTCTCAGTACCTTACTGGAGGGCTCCGGGAGGGGATTTCAGCTTCGGAAAGGAGGTACAAAAGTGACCCACCTTTTCTATATGGATGACCTCAAGTTATTCGCCTCCAGTCGCTCCCATCTTATGGAATTGCTAAACATCACTTGTGAATTTAGCAATTCTATTAGAATGGAGCTGGGAACGGATAAGTGTGCGGTCCTCCATGTTGAAAGGGGGAGGGTTGCTAACTCTGAGGGCATAGACTTATCTATGCCCGTCAACTTAAGGACCCTTTCCGAGGCTGAAACATACCGATACCTGGGTATGTCACAGAACATCGGTATCGATGAGGCTGGTATGAAACAGTCAGTTTGCGACGTGTTTTATGCACGCTTGACCAAAGTGCTTAACAGCCTTTTGTCCGGTGTGAATAAGACACACGCATATAACGGCTGGGTCATGCCTGTCCTCATGTATACCTTTGGCATACTCAGGTGGACTCAGACTGAACTTAACGCCCTGGATAGAAAAGTCCGCACTACCATGACGTCCCACAGGATGCATCATCCGAGATCGTCGGTAATGAGGCTGTACTTGCCGCGAAAGCATGGTGGGCGTGGCTTCTTGAGCGCGCTCACCATGCATAATCGCGAAGTGTGCAGCCTCCGTAATTACTTCCTGGCGAGATCGGATGATCCATTCTATAAGGACGTCATTTCTAGTGATAAAGGACTTACCCCTCTATCCTTAGCCAACGAGCAATGGCAAGACCCGGCAGTGCAGACAATTTCCGACCGGGAGAACGTATGGAAGGAGAAGGAGCTCCACGGGAGGTTCTACAAGGCTCTACATGAGCCTTTCGTAGACACAGTAGCCTCCCTCCACTGGCTACGCTTCGGTGACCTATTCGGGGAAACTGAGGGTTTTGTCTGTGCAATACAGGATCAGGTTATTAAGACCAACAACTATCGGAGATACATCCTAAAGGATGGCACCGTCGACATCTGTCGAGCTTGTCGCCATCCCGGTGAGTCACTTAGGCATGTCATCTCCGGTTGTTCGACGCTTTCTAACTCTGAGTACTTGCACAGGCACAACCTAGTAGCCAGAATTCTTCACCAGGGAGCTCGCTTTGAAATACGGTCTCGTGGATCGCAAATTGCCGTATTACAAGTACTTGCCGGAAGCCGTGCTCGAAAATGATCGCGCCAGGCTCTATTGGGACCGGGCCATCATCACAGACAGGACTATTCTTGCGAATAAGCCCGATATTGTGCTGATGGACCGGGCACAGTCAAGGATATTTTTGGTCGACATTACCATTCCGTATGACGAGAACCTCGTGAAAGCCGAAACAGACAAGCGAACAAAATATCTGGACCTGGCTCACGAGGTGACCGATATGTGGGGTGGTGTGCCCACCGAAATTATTCCTGTAGTCGTCTCTGCGAACGGGCTAATCCCAGTCAGCCTCTCGGGTCATCTGAGGCGACTGGGACTACGTGACGGACCGCTCCGGGCTCAAATGCAGAAGGCGGTGCTCCTCGACACCGCCCGCATCGTCCGCCGGTTTCTTTCCCTTTCCCCCCTAACCCTCAGCCGTTTGGTCTCCCCTGCCGAGGGCCTCCATCTGGTTGGGCTTTTATTTATTTATGAATTTTTTATATTTATTTTATGTTATTGATATTAATGTATATTTATCTTTTCATTTTAATTTATAATTATATATTTATAGAACCCAACCAGATGAGAAAACTATATAGATACCCAGACAATAATAATAATAATTATGTTTATTTCTCCTCACAAATACCGACCATACATAATAAAAACTTATATCTATTTAAATACAGGTATGTTCATACTCATAGCCTAGAATCTGTGAAGAGCTGGTGTTTGAGATAGGCAATAAAATGCCTGTATTACAAATCACCAGGTCTCCACCCCATGAGATATAAATAAGAGCATTATTTGTAATTGAGCGCTACATATATTGTAGATCGTAGGATCATAATGTATTATTTCGATATAAGTGACAAAATTTATATGTAAAACAAAAATTGTACTAAGAAAAAAAACAAAGTAACAGTGGTTTCGTAACCTCATACATTGTGTGTGCGTGTGCGTGAGTGCGTGCGTGCGTGCGTGCGTGTGTTGTGTGTGTGTGTGTGTGTGAGTGCGGTGGTGTGTTGTGTGTGTGTGTGTGTGTGTGTGTGTGTGTGTGTGTGTGTGTGTGTGTGTGTGTGTGTGTGTGTGTGTGTGTGTGTGTGTGTGTGTGTGTTTGCACTCATATTGACTACCTAAAAATAAATGACAAAATTATAGATAATCCTTCAGATATTGCGAACGCATATAATAATTACTTTATAGACTCGACAAATGTACCTGGTAACTATCAATGTAACTCAAATAAACTGAAGTTCATCGAAAGTACTACCGCATCTATATTTTAAACCCTACCGACGAAAATGAAATAATCAAAATTATAAACACTCTGAACAACACAAATTCCACAGGTCATGATGCGATATGTACGAAGGTAGTTAGGGCTTGTGCAAGTGAGTTGGCACCTTTGCTGGCACATTTTGTGAATCGTTGCTTTGAAGAGGGTACATTTCCGAGCACTCGAAAAATGTCCATTGTCAAGCTACTATATTAAATGTGGAGAGAGGCATAATTTAAACAACTACAGACCCATTGCACTTATTCCAAAAAGATCATGCAGGTTAGATTAATTTCTTTTTTCACAAAACACTGCATAATTAGGGAGGAACAATTTCGGTTTCTGAAGGAAAGGTCAACAGCACTGGCCTGCATATCCCTTATTGAAAATATATCGATCCATATGGGCAACAGGGTTCCCGTATTCACCACTCTGTTCGATATGAGTAAGGCCTTTGACTTTGTCAATCATAAGACACTTCTAAATAAGCTTGAGCGTTATGATGTTCGAGGACCGGCCTATGATTGGATAAGGAGCTATCTCAGTGAAAGGATTCAGTTTGTGGAAGTATTGAGGCTGGATGATGGGTGTCTGAGTGTGACGTACAGATCGGAAGTTAGGGTGAATAACTCAGGTTTCCCACAGGGCAGTATATTAAGACCATACTCATTCTTACCAATGACGATTAGCAATGTACGCAATATTCTATTACACTCTATGCTGACGATATTTCTATAACTATACATATGAAACCTAACACTGACTATAATAATGAAATAAGAAATATAGCAAATTAGCTAAAATATAATGATTTGAAAATTAGTATAAGTAAAACAAAGTATCCACAATTTTACAACAAAAATGGTAAATCTCAACAACTATCGGTACACCATGGTAACGATCCCATTGCCATGACCGCATCAGCGACCTTTCTCGGTATTGTGATTGATTCCGAACTCACGTGGCAGAATCACGTTGAAACTATATGCCAGAGGATTAATCCTCTGGCATATGGGTTTGTGTTCGCTCTGTATCGTCTGTCAAAATTAGCCAACCTTAAAACAGCTCTGATGGCTTACCATGGATATGTTGGTTCTATACTGAGGTATAAACTGATTCTGTGGTGAAATTCGACACCCATTTCTCGTGTCTTTATACTACAGAAGAGATGTATACAATCTAAATGCGGTGTTGGTCAAATGGAATCATATAGACCTCTCTTTGAAAAGCTAAAAATTCTTACGTTACCTTCCCTAAATATATATGAAATTTTAACATTGACCAAAAAAATTGCTAACCTCTTCACAAAACAACAAAATGATCATTGTGGTACAAGAAGGTACCCGTGGAAGTTATCTGTGCCCCAGACAACCACAACTTGTTTTGCTAGAAATAGTTATAGCATGTACGTACGACTATTTAATTTACTTCCGAATCATATTCAAAACATGACATTTAAACTT